CCCTGTGCTGTCCCCTGAGCTGTCCCCTGGCCAGGGCAGGGCTGTCCCCTGTGCCACCCTGTGCTGTCCCCTGATCTGTCCCCTGGCCAGGGCAGGGCTGTCCCCTCTCGTGGCCCAGCAGGGACCCCGGGATGTGAGCTGGAGCCGGCTCGGCTGCCCGGCCACCCTCCGCCGGGACCCAGGCTCGCCGCCGAGCGCTCCTGCTGACTGGCAGACGACCTGGAAAAACCACTGGCTCTGTTTGCATTGGAAGAAGCCCAAGGCTAATTTTAAGGGGTTCATTTAGCTCTGATTTAATCTGGACGCCAGCCTTGCCTATAAATCACGGCTTAATGAGAACAATCCACCTGCCTGCCCTGGCATTTAATAAAATAGAGGAGAACTGGAGTTCCTCCAGGAGCTAAGCATTCCTCACAGCTGAGCTCTCCCCCCGCTGCTGTGGAGAGCCCCGAGAGTGGAATTTCCCCGGCCATCCCCTGGGAATTGCTGGGTGCGTGAGCCCAGCCCTGTGTGACGTGTTGGCCTTTTGGCTGATGGCCAGGATGGAGAGTTGCCACCAGTCCCAGTGCCTTCCTCTCGCTCACTCCCATCGCCGTGCAGCAGCGGGGTGTGCTGCGAGCAGCCACTCCTGTTTCTCCAAGGCCATAAATGATCCTGCAGCCCGGGGCAGTGACATCACCTTGTACTGTGGGACAGGGAGCAAGGGGTGCAGGATCAGCCCGTGCCCTCCAGCTTTAGCAGGACAGGTGAAATCAGGAATACCTTATCAAGCAGAGACTTTACAGGGCTTGTCCTGCCCCTTTACCAGGATCATGTGCCCTAAGGATGCAATCCTACAGCTAGCACAGCTGGAGCCTTGTCATTGTCCTTCCCAATTTCCTCTTTGGCATCCCAAGAGCTCTCCTGAGCACCTCCTGCCTCTCACAGCATCTCCCCACTCTCACACCCAGCCAGGTGCTAATTCCCGCTGCCCCCAGCCCCAGCAGCTGCCCAGCAGTGCCCACCTTGCTCCTTGAGGCGGATGATCTCGGTGTCGGAGCCGAAGCTGTTCCAGGCCGTGCAGTTGTAGATGGTTTGGAAATCAGCCCGGACGATGTTGCTGATGGTCAGCGTGGAGATGACCCCCTCATCTGTGCTCACCGTCTCCACCGTGTAGCGCCCGGAGGTCCCAGATTCCAGGACGTTCTCCTTCCAGGACCAAGCCTGCCAAGGGAGAGAGGGGTGAGCCCGGGGCACCCCGAGGTGTTGCAGGCAACAGAGAATCATCGGGGCGATACTCACAATTCGGTCTGGTGGCGGGGTGCTGCGGATGAAGCACTTGATCTGCCCCTTCTGGCCGTGCAGGGCGTGCTGGGTCTGGGTGCTGGAGATTATGGGGGGTCCTGTGGAGACAGGAGAGGCTGCTGGCACCCCTTGGGACTGGTGGGGATGGGGCGTGTTAGGGGAGTCCCGAATGGATATTGGGGTCCATCTCTGAAGGGCAGGGATGGACAAAGAGCCCAATCACCTCCTGTGATGGAGAACATCGAGCAGAGGCTTTGGGCTCTGCTGGGTTTTTGCAAAGCCCCCACAAAGCACCAGGGTCCCCCATCTCTGTACCCCCATCCCTGGTGTAAAGGATCCTGCCCCCATCTCCCTGGTGAGCCTGGCCTCTGAGAAGGGCTGTTTGCTGCAGAAGCAAAGCAGGATTCCATCCCACCTGCTGTTTCTCTTCTGTGCTCTCCCAGATTCATTAAGCAACCATTAAACTAATTGCTCTCCAGGGCATTAAGGAAGAGGTGGTGGAGGAGTTTCTGCTGGAAAACCTTGACACCCATCAGCTGGGCTCTCCTGTGCCGTGTGGATCATGAAAGGAGCCCAGGAGAAAGGGTAGGAAAGGCTCTTCCAGACCAAACACCAGCTTGGGATGGGAAGTGTCCTTGTCCTGCCTTGGTGAACATCCTGTGACTGGGAGAGAAGAGCATGTGGTGTGTCCCTCACCCTTCTAACAGCCCTGCTGGCCCCAGGGGAGCAGCACAAGAGCTGAGATCCTAATTGCTGTAAATTAACCTCCTTAATTAAAGCAGATTTGCATTTCCATGAGTGGCTTGCTGCTGGCAGAAAAGAAAAACAGCAACAACTGGGCAGCAGGGCAGGGAGAGAGGGGTGGCAGGGGCTGTCAGAACTCCCCCTGCTCCAGCTCTGGAGCTTTGGATGTTCCAGAGTGTCACTAGGGTGTCACACCTGGTTTGGACTACATCACTAAGTTGATCACAGCCTTGTGGATTTTTTTCCCATTTCCCCCACCTCCCTGCCCTGCATCTGACATGTTCCTTCAAAAAAACGTCTCAGGGATTTGGAGTAAAGTGGGAAGAAAGATTTGCCTGGGTATTCCTGCCCAATTCTCATCCAAATCACCCATTTATGAATTTCACGAATGCACAAAAATGTACCAAAGTGCTAAATCCTTCACTCTCAGGCATTTGTGCATACAGCTGCCCAGTAACCCCTTCCTGCACCAAACTTGCACACTCCTCACACACTTCCCACTGAGGCACAGCCTTTCCCTGCTTCCTTACACTGTTCCAAGGGGGGATGGATGGAAAACAAGCTCATTGAAGCACAATTCACTGACCAGTGCCCACGCTTCTGGCAGCTCAGGAAATTACTACTGGAAGGAAGCCGCCATCAGCATCAGGAATTGCAGGAACTGGGCGTGAAGGTCAGGACTTGTTGTGCTGTAATGGACATAGCAGTACAGCAGTGCAAACTTGTGCCCTTTTTGATCGAAGAAGGCAAAAAAAAAAAGACACTTTGTTGTGGTTTTTCTCTCCAAATGCTCAAGATGTTGTTCTAGGCACGATCCCAGGGTGTGAGTTCTTGTTTATCCATCGCTGAAAGCTCAGCTTTCTGAGGGGTCGCAGTGGAGGTGACTCCCTGCTTTGCCTGAGGAACCTGCTGAGGCCATTGATGCTCCTGCCCACCTGATGATTCCAAAGCCAGCAGAGGCAAGAGTAGTGATGGGATCTGCAGGCCAAGCCTAAACAGTAATAAAAATAACTGTCTCCTTTCCATTTTGATGCTTGTGTGTTACTTATAAATTCTGGAAGTGCTCCAAGACTGGGTGACGCTAGAGAAAAATGGCTTAATAATCATTAAAAGGATCATTTTCCCCAAGGCGAGTGGATTTTAAATGGCACAAATGCCAGTGGCTTTGGCTTTTATTATTGCTTCAGGAGTTCAGAGTCTGAGGCTTATCATCATGATAATAGTGGATGACTAAAGACTATTTGTGAGATGAACATGCCCAGAAATAATAGCACGAAGTTGCAGCCTCTTCGCATTCAGGGCCGGTGTTTGATTCTCCACCGGGCTCTGGCTCCTTATGAAAGCTGCCAATCTCCAGCTTGGCATTCAGCGCCGGGTGTGAGACAGCCCACAGGCAGGGAAAAGGCTCTAAGCAATGTTGCTATGGATATAAATGATGGAGCTATTGGTGGAGGTTATTTTTAGCACCTCGGTGCCAATTTATTTGTGCGGTCCTGGCGGCTCACACAAAAGAGAAGTCTGAGGTGGAAGCCTTCAGGAATGAAAGGAGAGGATGGCCTTGGCTTCTCCAGTCTGCTCGAGTCCATCTGAACCTTTCTTCCAAGCACTCAAAATTATTTGGCAAGAGAATTTTGTTTAACTCCTTGCTTCCTGCAGAAGTTCTGGGCTGGCTGCTTCTGCCTGGTATTGCAAAGGAACACATTCACAGATTGATTTGGGTTGGAAAAGACTTTAAAATCCATTTCATTCCAGATTCCCTACCGTGGGCAGAGACACCTCCCAGCAGAGCAGGTTGTTCCAACCTGGCTTTGAGCACTCCTGACACTGTGATGTGCTCCTGGCCAAGAGGGGTGGCAGGTCAGCCCTGCCCTGCTCCCAGCTCTCGGGCATGCCTGACTTCTTTGTTGGGGTGAATCCCAGGCAAATTACATCCTGAATTAGTCACCTGGAGCTGTCCAGCCCTCCCAACAAACTTCTCTTGCAGAACAAGGTGGGCAGGGGTGGTGGTCCCTGCTCAGCAGTCCCTGCCCAGCAGTCCCTGCCAAGCCCGGATGGTGCAGTGACAGATGGGTGATCTGCCTGTGAAGGTGACCTTGGGCTGCTTCTGCTGGGGTGGGAGCTGCAACTGGGCTGGGTGCAGTCAAGAGCATCGGGAGGCTTTGGCTGTAAATCCAGCTGCTGCTGATTTATGATGGCACCAAGTTCCTCCCTTCCTTCGAGCCTCTGCTGCTGTGGCCCTGCCAAATGCTGCTGCTTTGCATAATCCTCCTTCCCACTCACCAGACTCTGAATCCTATCTGCTTCTTTGCAGGCTGGTGGCCTTGGCTCTGGCATGGGATTGGGCTGCTCTGCCTCAGCCCGGTCTGAGGAAACTGGGTGGGAAGGGCAGGAGGATGCTCTCCCACCCCACCATCATCATGCCATGATTTTGGATAATTTTGGGAGTGGATAGGCTGTGAGACCACAGGCTCAGAGTGGGTTGAGTGGTCTCTCAGCTGGGATCTCTGTGCTCGGTGGGATGGATCAGCCCCCTAAAAGTCCAGGTGTCCAGACCATGGGCAGTGCAGCCAGCCCAGAACACGACTTCTCAATGCCTGATTTTTCTGTGACAGAGGGAGGCATCTGGTAATAACAGACAATTGTATCACCCGTTGGACTTAAAATCACATCAAAATATGAAGCATTCAACTTCCCCCTTGAATTACAGAAGAACAGGCTTCTAGCAGAATTCATTAGCTGGATTAGACACACTGCCGTGCTCTGGAGCTGGAACGCTGCTCCTGCTGCAGGACAGGCTGCCAAGCCCTGGTTCTTGGTGGATGTGGGATGTGGGGATGCTGCTCAGGGGCTCAGTTCTCCTCACTTGGAGTGCCAGGAGAGCATCCTGACTCAGAGGTGTGGGACTCTCCCTTGGTCCAATACCTGCAGTGACATGTCCCAACACTGTCACCTTCAGGGTGCCCAAAGCCCCTGGCAGCACTTCCCATGGGATGGGATGTGCAGGCAGTCAGTTCCTGGCAGATGCTCAAAGCTGAGCAGTGAACCCCATGCATGGATTTCATTTGCTCCCCATCAGCTTCCCCAGGGGGAAAAAACCAAAAGTTGCTGGAGAGCAACTTTTCCAGTCAGTGCTACATACTCCAAATGCCCCTGTGGGGAGCTCTGCTCTGCTCTCAGGGTATCCCTGTGCCTGGTAGGTGCCAGGGAAGGAGCACGTTCTTCATGCTAATTTGTTGCTTTGTTTTCCATTTAATTGTAATTAAAACCCAGCAGCTGCTGGGGAAGGAGAGTGAAGGCACCAAGGAGCTGAGTCCAAGTCGAGGGAGTGGTTGGTTTTCAGTCCCTGCTGTGTTGCCCTTACCTTCCTTTTCTAGGATTATAGAAACCTGGAATGTTTTGGGTGGGAAGTGACCTTTAAAGGTCATCCAATTCAACCCTCTTGTCATGACCCAGACATCTTCAGCTAGATCAGGTTGCTCAGAGCCCTGTCCTTGAATGTTTCCAGGGAGCTGGGGCATCCACCATCTGCATTATCTGTTTGAAATCAGTGCTTGCCTGAGCTGCCTCCTGCCTATGTTCTTCTCCTGTTACAGTGAGTGGGGAGTGAAACCTGCCAGTTTGTCATGCAGGTGAGAGACCATGCAAAATTCATCCTCTGCTTACACCATTTGCAGCCCACCTGGCTCTTTCCCTGCTGTATTTATGCTGAAATTTGTTACCAGCTGCTGCGAGGTCTTGGCCAGGGCATCATGAAACTCCAGAGATGTGGCTGTGGGTCCAGGGCACATCCTGACATGGTGCTGGATGAGCCCCAAGCAGCCATGGAGGTTTCCTGACAGGAATCCTGACAGGAATCCTGGCAGGTGTGTATCCTCAAGTATCCTCACAGGAATCCTCCCAGGCATCCTCATGTGGGTTGGAGAGTGTGATTAGGCTGCTGGTCTTGGATCCAGACTCAATTCCCAGCTCTCCAGGTGTACAACAGAGACAACAGCACTCTCTGACCTTGCGAGGGTTTTGCAAGATTAATCTATTAAAGATTTAAAGCTGCCAGCTCCCAACTACTCAATAAACCCCTGTTGGTAATAAGGAACTGTGTGGGGCTGAGCAAATGTTGATTTTTTTTTTTTTTTCACTTTAACTTGTGCATTTCCAGGCAAAATAATGCAAAATCCACTTTACTCCAATTGCCTGGATCTCTGATTCAGCTGAGGGTGGGATTTGCTCCAAAAGGAAGTATCTGAGGGGATAATTTGGGAACAGGAACTGCCAGAGCAACAGGATCAAGGCAGGAAGGGGATGGTGGAATGGAAGCAGGAGGGAATGTCAGTAGGGAAGCAGAAGGGAAGGAATGGCAGAAGGGGAGCAGGAGTGATGGAATGGCAGACAGGGAGCAGGAAGGAAGGAATGGCAGACGGGGATCAAGAGGGAAGGAATGGCAAATTAAATTCAGGAGGGAGGGAATGGCAGAAAGGGAGCAGGAAGGAAGGAATGGCAGATGGGGATCAAGAGGGAAGGAATGGCAGAAGGGCATCAGGAAGGAATGGCAGAAGGGAAGCAGAAGGGAAGGAATGGCAGAAGTGGAGGAGGAGGGAAGGAATGATGGAAGGGAAGCAGGCAGGAAGGAATTGCAAATGGGAATCAGGAGGGAAGGAATGGCAGAAGGGGATCAGGGTTGATGGAATGGCAGAAGGGAGCAGGAGGGAAGGAATGGCAGAAGGGAGCAGGAGTGATGGAATGGCAGAAGGGA